ATACCCACAAATGGCTTCAAAAATCCCAGAGGGTCCACCGAACTGCCAAGAGTTTTAGAGGGCCTTGAGAAATTCAATGTCGACTTTTTATAGGAGAACTTAACAAAACTGAACAGGACTTGCCCGATCTCGATTTTTTTTTTTTTACTTTTCTTGAGAAGCTTAAGAGGTTGATCAGAGGAGGAGGAGGAGGAGGAGGAGGAGGAGGAGGAGGAGGTGGAGGAGAATTCCAAAAAAAGCCGTACAAGTTTTTTATCTCTGCTCTTGCTTCTTCAAGTAAACTGTGTCCATACTTGGGAGGCAATTCTTCTGCGTTCTGCAATCTCATCCCTGGTAGGAAAGGTTCAATGGAGGGAAAGAAACAAAGAGAGAAGCATGTTTGTTGATTAGGAAGTCAATCCAAGGGGACAAAAATAATGGATTCATCATCATCATCACCGTGATGAAGCCTTTACGTATTTATTAAGTAAGATGCTTGGACAGGAACACAAGACCCCATAGGATATCCTCTTTGCAGCACGAACCATAAAAGTTGGCTGATGCTGAGGGTTGTACCTCTATACCACTCTACAGAAGATAGGAAACCTTGACCACAGAGGAAGAAGTCTTAAAATGAAGATTGATCTTGATTCAGAGATCTAGGATCTATTCTGCAGCTCCAAGAGAGTTTGGAGCCGAAAATCAAGATCACTACAGCAAATGCCAAACTCCTGAGGCCTAGAAGAAATTTAAGAAATACAGGGAGTCCTTGACTTACAATTGTTCATTCAGTGACCCGCTCAAAGTTACAACGACATCAAAAAAAAATGATTTTTGACCGTTTTTCACCCTTATGACTGTTGCATCATCCATGTGGTCAGGGGTGAGGAACCTTGCCTCTTTTATAACTCGTGAACTTCAACTCCCAGAATTCCTGTGCCAGCATGGGGGATCTATGGCCCCTTCATGACTTGGGGACTTCAACTCCCAGAATTCCTGAGCCAGCATGGGGATCTATGGCCCTTTTATGACTTGGGGACTTCAACTTCCAGAATTCCTATGCCAGCATGGGGAAACTATGGCCCCTTCATGACTTGGCGACTTCAACTCCCAGAATTCCTGAGCCAGCATGGGGGAGCTATGGCCCCTTCATGACTTGGGGATTTCAACTCCCAGAATTCCTGAGCCAGCATGGCTCAGCATGGAAACCTCTCCCTGTCCCCTCAGCATGGCTGGCTCAAGAATTCTGGGAGTTGAAGTCCACGAGTCATAAAAGAGCCAAGGTTGCCTACCCCTGCCCCAGGGCTTCCCTGAAATGATTAAAAAAATGGAGAGAATTCAATCAACTCAAATTCACAGAATGAAATCAACTGTCACCCTTCTGATTTATATCGGCGACTTTGCTGATGTCCTTACGGTTGACCTCAAGGACAAATGTCCCAATTGTCCAAAAGCCTGACCTTCTGAATCAGAACAGAGCTGGAAGGGGTCTTGGAGGTCTTCTAGTCCAGCCCCGTGCTCAAGCAGGAGATGCTATGCCATTTCAGACAAGTGACCGTCTAGCCTCTTCTTAAAAACCTCCAGTGATGGAGCGTCCACAATTCCTGAAGGCAACTTCTGTTCCACTGGTTGATTGTCCTCACTCTTAGGAAGTTTCTCCTTAATTCCAGGTGGCTTCTCTCCTTGATTAGTTTCCACCCATGAAACTATTTCTTGGGCATCTAAGACCTAGGTTTAACCTCTTCCCTACCTGAAACAAAGACCGTTAAAGGCTCAATCCAATACCTTTCGTGGTGGCCTCATGGACCCTCACACCTTCAGTCGCCTTCTTGAGTCCTGTGTTAACCCGAGCCTGGACATAATTGTAGGGCGCGGGTCTGTGGCCTTGAAGCTGAAGTTGCTGTTTGGTAGAAATCAGCCTGTTGCGTATCATTTCGTTCTGCTTTTCTAAGTCCCGGACTTTCTCCTGAAGTTGTTCGATCACCTCCTCCATCTCCACGTCCTGACCCAGCCGCCTGGGGCCGCCACTGATCTGCTCCGCTTTCTTCTTGTCATTAACGAGCCGTATTAACTTAGTGGCCATTCTGAGGAGACATCAGATGTATCCAATGGGGGGGGGAGGGAAGGAAGGGGCAAAAAACACACACACACAAAAAAAAACACATCAGCACGAAAAGCACTTTGTTGAAAGGAACATAATCACTGTGAAGACTTCGGCGGCGTCGAACCTGAGTAATAAATTTCAGGTTTCGATATAACTACCCACAGCCTGCGAAGGGGCCTTTGAAGATAATTGAAACCACCGGGGCAGCAATCTGCTTTATAGTACTGACAAATAATAGTTTCCTAAGGCTTATCATTGAAAGTTTAGTCAAGTGGGAAAGGACGCATATTTGCTCCATATGCTGCTCAAATTTGGAACGTATGACCTCGCGAAGAAACTCTGGGCCCTGGTGAGTGTCGTTAAAGATTCGGGATGTGGTGAGGCCAGGCACAAAGGCTACAAGATCCATATGACGTTAAACTCCCCGTTATATGCTTGCAATGTGTCACACATCCCGCTGATGTCTTCTGCTTCCACGCAAGAGCAGGGGAACAAAAACCGTGCCGTTTTCCACCAAATAAAATATAAAAAGGAGGAGGTGGACGAGGCCAGCTTTTAATCATCCCCTGTGCCTTGCTGCGTCTGATACTTAGCAAATAAGGCTAACACACTTAGGAGAGGCTTAACAGCTCGTGGTTGGATAATAATTGGATGCAGGAGGAATGGTTTTCATCTAATTTTAAAAGGGTAAAATATATATATATATATATATATAGTCTTTGCTTTTGGCATCTCCAGAGCCGTACCTTTGATTCCTCTGAGTTTTGATAAACAGAGGGAAGCTAGAACAAAAGGCCAGGGAGCGTGCAGGGGTGATGTAATACCCCCCCCAAAACCAGAAGACACTCGCCCCAGTGAAGGATTGGGTCAGGGAGAAGGACTTGGCAGGCTAAGAAAGAAAAGGTGGCTTTGATGGAGGAGGAGGGAGATTCAAAACTTTTGCAAAATTGGTCGCGCATCTCTAACGGCTGCATCTACTTTATGGGAAGACCTTTCATTTCTTTTCCTTTTGTGGGAAATCCAGACGGGAGTCTGAAAACAGAGAGACACTTCATCTATTTGAGGATTTCCCCCCCCCCCTTTTTTTTTTAAAGTAAACTCCTACTTTTTTTCCCCTTTAACGAGACAGAACGGAAAAACATCTGCCTGAGGCTCCGTTGTTAAGCCCTTGGGGATGGATGACAAAGAAGGGACTTGCCGTAGTGAAGATAGATGGTTAAAGTCTCACGAAGCTGAGTTAAGATCTTTAAAACAATTTAAGAATTTGTTTTTTTGTTTTTTTTAAAGGAAGCGTTAAAAAGTCTCCGGCTTAATTATTATGTATTATCCCACGATAGGATACAGTCCAGGGGTAGTCAACCTTGGCTCTTTTATGACTCGTGGACTTCAACTCCCAGAATTCCTGAGCCAGCATAGCTGGCTCAGGAATTCTGGGTGTTGAAGTCCACGAGTCATAAAAGAGCCAAGGTTGACTACCCCTGGGATACACTCTTCAAGTACAGGTGCTCCTTGACTTTCAACAGTTCGTTCAAAGTGACAACGGCACTGAAAAAAGTGACTTGTGACTGTTTTTCACACTTATGACCATTGCACCATCCCCATGGTGAGGTGATCAAAATTCGGATGCTTGGCAACGGACTCACATTTACGACGGTTGCAGTGTCCTGCGATCACGGGATCCCTTTTGCGACCTTCTGATGAGCAAAGTCAATGGGGAAAGCCAGATTCACTTAACAACGCTGTTGCTAATTTAACAACTGCATTGATTCATTTGACAAGTGTGGTAAAATGGGGCAAAACTCACTTAACAACTGTCTCACTTAGCCACATACATTTGGGGCTCAATTGTGGCCGCCCGCTGAGGACAACCTGTGTTTCACTTTACAAGCCACATTTTTAAGGAGTCAATCAGGAAACCGGACCTTTTAATTTTATCCTCTTGCTTACGGGCATGTTGCTTCAGCAAGATGTTCTCCTCGTGTAAGCGAAAGTATCGATCTTCAAGGTCCTCCCGGTGAATTCGCGACACAGTTTGCCGAGCCTTAACATTCTGGGCGGTTGATGGATCTGCAAAAGGAGGAGGAGGAGGAGGAGGAAGAGGAATCAAGGATTTTTTTGTTTTTTAGGGCTACTATAAATTTTGCTGATGACAGATCTGAGTGCAGGAAAGTTTTGTGAACTCCTCGGCAATGGCTTTAGAGAAGGCTGAGCTCATGGGGTGAAATGGATCCTTTTAACGCTCAGGGCTTTATGAGGTACCAGTTTAAGATTCCAGCTCAGGGTAGAAGTTAGAGAGAGTGCCCATGGAGAAAGAAAGAAAGAAAGAAAGAAAGAAAGAAAGAAAGAAAGAAAGAAAGAAAGAAAG